CATTGTAAAGATTGCGCAAAATCCAAAAGCAAACACCATGTTCCACCTCCAACTACGAAACGAGCCAAAGATACGTTCGAACTAATCCACTCAGACCTGTCAGGAAAATTCTCCATTCAATCACCTGGTAAAAAATGGTACTACATGTCTTTTATCGACGATGCTACCCGCTACTCTTCTGTCGCCTTCCTCCATTCCAAGTCTGATGCTAAGACTGCAATCAAGAAATTTGTTGCCTCTTGTGAGCGGCAATGTGGGGTAAAAATCAAGTGTTTTAGAAGTGACAATGGTGGTGAATATGTTGATACAGAACTAAATAATTCCCTGGAGATGTTAGGAATTGAACATGAGTACTCGCCAGCCTATTCTCATGAGTCAAATGGAGTGGCAGAAAGGTTCAATCAAACGATAACAACCATGGCGCGTGCGATGATTGGACAACATGGAAAGTTTCTTTGGGCCGAAGCAATTCACACAGCAGTATACCTAAAGAATCGGCTTCCTCACAAAGCGCTTAAGGGTTTAACGCCGTATGAAGCTCTTTATGGTATCAAACCCAGCATCCAACACCTTCAACCGTTCGGCCGAAAATGCTATGTCCATCAGGCAAAGGAGTCGCGACCCCCTGGTACCAAGCTATGTCCAACGGCCTTAGATGGGAAAGTTGTTGGGTACACACGGAGTGACAAGATATACCGAGTTTGGATTCCTCTCCAACATCGTATAGTTGAAACGCGGCAGCTCTCCTTTGCTCCTCTGGATTCTTTGGAAAAGACCACTGTCGATATTACCCTTACGGAATCAATAATACCACCACTACAGCTCCCTCCGATATCTAGTCCCATAAGCAAGCATATGACTACCCTTGAGAAATCAGAAGATCCTCCCCCTGCCAGTACTTCTCTATTACCACAAGCTGAACTGCAAGCACCTCCCGCAGAAATTGTACCTGCCCGTGAAAGACCCCGAAAATCGAGACTTATTCCAGAACCAGTTCAGGCTCCTCTAACTGGAAAAAGAACTCGAAGGCCACCACAATTTCTCCGAGATGAGGGGGGAAGAGCTGTTCAGGAAGTACTTTTGGCCCTTGATCTTCTTACTGAGGAACCCAAAACCTACAAGCAGGCACTTTCTGGATCTAATGGTGAAAAGTGGCAGCAAGCTGTAAAACTTGAGCTTGATGCGCTTGAACGAAACAAGACCTGGGAAGTCTGTGACAGACCTGTCAACTGACATGTGGTAGACTGCAGATGGGTATTCAGAGTTAAAACTAAGGCAGATGGATCTGTTGACCGATACAAAGTACGCCTCGTTGCAAAAGGATTTACCCAAGTTCCTGGCCAAGACTACGATGATACGTTTGCCCCTGTCGTCAATTACGGAAGTCTTCGTCTGCTGCTTGCTCTTGCTGCCCATCATGGTTGGATTCCACAGCAAATTGATGTTGTCTCTGCATTCCTCTATGGAATTCTTAAGGAAAAAATCTACATGGAACTTCCTGAAGGCTACAAGAAATCTGAAAAAGTATGTCGTCTCCGAAAGTGACTCTACAGACTAAAACAGTCCCCACTTGAATGGTATTCACGCCTGTCAAAAGCCCTCCATGATCAGGGATTCATGCGTACTACCTTCGACCCTTGTGTCTTCGTTCATAAATACCAGCAGCTGTTTATCGCTGTCTATGTTGATGACACACTTTTGTTTGGACCCAATACCCCCTTTCGCAAAGAAGTACAAGATCTTCTACATAAAGAGTTTGAATGTAGATCTCTTGGTGATGCAGGGTACTTTCTTGGGATTGAACTCAAAAGGACTGAATCAGGACTCCACCTCTCACAAGAAGGATACACCAATAAGATTCTAAAACGATTTGGCTTACTCGACTGCAAACCTGTTGGAACCCCCCTCGAACCAAACATCAACTTCGAAATTTCGGAACCACAAAATACCATCGAGGACCAAAGCCTATATCAATCAATGATTGGATCTCTCATGTACCTTACCACCAGTACCAGACCTGATTTGTCCTACACGATTGCCCTTCTTTCACAGTTTTCTGCCCGTCCAAGCACCATTCATCTTGCTGCCCTCAAGCGTGTGTTCCGCTATGTCAAAGGAACCAAGGATTGGTGTCTTACATATCCAAAACAAAATAACCTCAGTCTGGAAGGTTATGCTGATGCCTCATATGGAACAATGCCTGACCGAAAGTCCTTCTCGGGTTATGTTTTTCGACTTGGTACAGCTACAATTACCTGGCGTGCTCAGAAACAAAAGTCCGTCGCGCTTTCTACCACAGAAGCCGAATACATGGCACTCTGTCTGGCTGCCAAACAATGTGTCTGGATACAAACTGGTCTCAAAGAACTAGGGATAAAGAATATCGACAGTCTCCTACGAACGGACAATGTCGGCGCAGAACAGCTTACCCGCAATCCTCGAATCCACGAACGATCCAAGCATATCGATATCCAATATCACTACATCCGGGAACGCTACGAAGCCGGTGACTACAACTTGGTACATGTTTCTTCGGGGGATAATCTGGCAGATCTTTTTACTAAACCTTTGTCAAAACCAACTCATCAAAAGTTTTCTGATTGTATACGACTTGCTCAGCGAGGGGAAGTGTTGTAAATAGTCAAGTACGCTCTCACAAGTCTATTGTGATGAACCAACTTATGTGACATGAGCATAAGTTTGGTCCTAAGCTTAGTGTTTTCTTTGTTAGACTGATGTGGTCTATAAGATAAAATGGGGTATGGAATTAGGGCTAGGATGAGATGTTTTATTTCTTCTTTTAAGCATGTTTACTCTTAGCTAGAACCAATAGAGTTCTTTACAACTCCACACTCATCTCCTCCCTCCACCAAAAGGTCTCGTCTTTGTTTCTTGCCACAGCCAGCTATCCACTGCCATCACACTTCCTGTTGCTCAACAATAATGATCAATGAAAGTTATGATGACAGCAAACATAGAGCATGTGGTCAGAATTAGTGCGATGGTTTTCATATATCTCCCAGTTACGTCCGGTCCCGCTATAAGTTTCCGGCTTGTTCGGTACGCATACAGTATGTGAAATTCCCCAGCAGCCCACGCGTGTTCCCTGCTGAAATCATGGTACCAAATGTAGGGCCGATTGGGCCTTCCCAACCAGACGAGTGAGCTCTGGCGACGTACTCCAGAAACTGCTCGAGAAACGGATCATCGAGAGCACAGTACACTCTACTCCTAGAGTGAATATTGATACCCCCCCTCCAGCATGTCCATAATAATATGATAAATACTTTGTGGGGTATGAAGCACTACGCTCAGGGAAAACTCAAAACAAATTAAATAAAGCAAAAACACAGCTATTAAAATTCATACAGACTAGGTATCAGTGTATTTGCACTCTATTCAATTGTTCACACTTGTTATGCACAATGGTGCGATCCGATTGTGATATTGAACAGCCGAAATGACCTTCCTGGGTAGGAAGGTACTGTAGATTTTTCACTTGGGTAACCTTTTAGGTGGCTTGTCTCTCGTTGAAATTCTATTCGTATTACTCTACTACTAATTCCAAGTACTATAACATGTAGGGATACCACGCAAAATCTAAGCGGGCGTTATAGATCCTGATATTAAAGAATTTGGAGTGTCCGACCAGGGCAAGTCAAGCCCAGAATTATTATTTTTTTTCCCCAATGGCAACATTTACATCAGCACAAGCCCAGAATGATGAAAAGAGGGAAGAAAAGACCCCCATGCTTTGCTCGCAGTACCCAACTAGTGTGGTGAAGATATGGTTATTTTTTTTGCCGGCAAGGTCCAGTTTTTACAGGGATAAGAGTAGTTTGGGTTGGGGAGACATCACGGCAAATGGACAAACAACTCAGTGTGTCTGGAATAGAATCATGGTTTTTTTGAGTGAATACATTTCGTTAGAACAGTGCCAATGGATACCTGTCCAACGAGCTTCCCCGCTGCCTGTCTGCCTGTTCACTAAGAACAAACTAAAGAAGATGATATCTGAGGATTGATTTCTTTTTGTTTTAGTAGTAGAGCGTCCTAGGTAGGGTAGCTTGGGTGTTTATATAAAAGCTACGGATTGCGATTCCCCTTCCATCTCATAATTTGTGATATATCCAGTACCGGGGTTTGGGTGAACATTTTCACCATATGTCACTCGATATTTGATTTCGCATGACAGTTCTGAATTGCGGTGGAATTGGGGCAAAGGTGTATGGAATGAGTGATAGAAGTGACTTTCTTGACTTCCTAGGTGGGATAAACTGCTCCCTTAGGGGCATACACTCCTAGAGATGTCGTACTACGATATAATATTATAGACATACCTGTGACAAAACTTGGGTAGTCTGAATGACAATATCTAGGAGTGACTAGTGTTGTGCACGAGCCGAGCGGACTCGAGCCTAGGTGGTCACTAGGCGCGAGCAGGCTTGAACAGGGGTCCACGAGCCGACTCGAGTAAGGAATTGGACTCGGGGATAGTGGGAAGGTCATTTGGCTAGTTGTATTTGTTTTCAAGTTGCTATATACAATTTTTGGTTGATTTGAGTGATAATGGCAATGTGGAGAGGTATCGTGGCCACTTTAGACTCTAGCCTCTTGGCGGCTCGAGTCCAGGGGTCTCTCGAGCCGAGCCGGCTCGTGAACAACACTAAACAGGATCTACGGAAGCTATTATGGTTGCATGACCCGATTTTTGCAGCAGGGCGAGACGCTTGAGGAGCTCTCCCGAGAGCTTCCGCAGTTAGAGGTCGAGAAGGAGCTCTACCATTTCCCACTCCCAAAGACGCCTGCGGAGGATGCCTTATATGCACAGGTTGCCCAGAGGATCGCGCATCCCGAAGGGATAGAGGTGGAAGAAGGGAGAGATGAGGACCTCCATACCTGTGGTCCTCCTCGTCTCTTTCTGACACCTCACTGAAGTGGGTCAGTTCGCGACGTCTCACATCCGACTTCCGCCATCGGTAAGGGACCAGACAGAGTTTATGATGGCGGACGCCACTACCTCGCATATAGTGAACTTTACGCATAGGACTCTCCGCAGTCCACACCTCCGATTCTCACCCGTCTACTCGAAGAAGTGGAATAAGCGCGAGCTGACTATTCCCTTGAACCAGACTAACATTCCAATGTCGGGTATCAATACCGGCGTGTTTTTCGCTGCGGTGATGCCGGGGCTGTACGCGCAGTGCTTGAGTTTGTTGACCGAGCCGCGGAAACGGTTGGTGGCGATTGGGTGCTTGGCCGGGATGGGGGGAAGCAGGGTGTTAAGAGGGTGCTTGATGTGGGTGGTGGGGGTGCTTGGGTGCTTGCTTGGAAGAGTATTGTCGAAGCGGAAGAGGAGAGAAGGAGGGGTGAGCTTCCAGAGAGAACAGGGAAACCGTCACTTGGCCTGGGTGGGAGAGCTCTGCCGGTGGTGAGGGAGAGGAGTAGATTGCGTGCAGTGGTCGTCGAGGCTCTTGGACGATACTCTGTTTATTCTGCGAGTGCCGGATATCTATTTTGAAAACCGACACTACACGCCAGCGCCCCTGTAGAGAAGAGTAAGGCTTAGCTGAGAAAGCCCTACGATTTGATCATTGCTACAAAAAGAATCCTCCCAATAGGGAAGTCATTTTTCCGCCGCCAAACCGTTGAGCAACTCTGGCCGCACGTAAACCCCAACGGCCGCGTCCTTTCGATCAGCGAAATGGGCACGCTGCTGGACATCTGGGCCCTCGCCTATGCCCGCTCCACCATCCTAGAGGACTGCAGCAAGAATGTTGGCGAAGCTTTTCAACCACCCCCCGACCAAGAATGCCAGTAGCTTCGCCAACCCTTCTATCGAAAAGGAGCGCGGCGCTGTAATCGCCCCATGCACGAACCAAGAACAATGCCTCATGTTCCCCTCTGGCTCCACAGACGGCACCAACCGCAAACACTACTGCCTCTCGCTGTGCTATGAGCACCCTGGCTATCTGCAGGCTCGTGGATGAGTCATCCAAAAAAAAACCCCCCCATGAAGATCTCGAGTACTCATATGTCGCCTTCTGTCGTGGCATCGACTAGCGCACCGACACGAAGAACAAGATTAACTCAACAATAGACGACATTGGCATAACCTCCTTCGACGGCGAACCTGACACGCCAATTCAGAACCCCCAACACAATGCAAGAACTCGGCAATTACAGTTTGGCCCTCCTGCGTATTATACTCCCACCTGGCAAAAGCGACTCGTATATTATACTCGACTGATGCACTCCGACGGGTTCTATCGAACACTGGGTTGTTCCCAAGAACCTCAGAAAATTGGAGTACAGAGACGCGAGGAATAGCGGATGGGGTGATCTCTGGGCACTTGGAGCGAAAGCTCGCACTAGCCGAAACATAAAGATCTGTGGCGGCAGCAGGAAGACTATGTAGGGAGAGGAATCTTGAAATGGTTAGGGCGCACAAGGAGAAGAATAAAAGGGGGCTGCAGGAGAAGGCAATGGCGGGGAAGGGGACCGGGGAGATGCCTGGAGGAACGATTAGGATGCGTAGGGAGAGGAGGGGAATGATGCAACCGGGGGAAAAAGGAGTAGGAGGCGACAAGAGGGGGGGTGCAATCGCAGTTTCCCACTCGCAATGTAACCATATTTTCATATCAGGAGCGTGGGCTACCGGTGGGTGGGGTGTATATATGGGGCTTCTTACCTTTTGTAAATTGTTTACCTAGCTCCAAAAAGTGTTATCTGCAGTAACTATTGGTGGTATTATTCGAAAAGGTTGAGTGATTGTTGGTGAAAAGGTACCCACCCCACCATTCCCGTATCCACTAACCTCTTCTATAACCCGCCCAGCAGTTGTGAGAATGGGGGGACGTATGTCGGTCCGTTGCTAGTACTAGTACTCTGAGCAAGTGCATGGGAAAATGCTGTCGACGGTGGGGCTGGCTGGAGATTGTGGCTTTGGCAATATTCCGCTAGGGGTTGGAATGTTGTCGCGGGGTTCCCTCCCCCAGAGTATTCTACAATATTATTAAATTTGATGGGTTTTCCATATATTCCTGCCCTTGGTTGACACGAGCCCGCTGTCGTCCACCCAGCCGGAGCAAGCCCAGGGCCTTTCCAATGCGTGGCTTGGATGTTGGAGAGACCCGCACTCTTATGGCCGCAGTGATATACATATGCGCTGGTGAGAATGCGCAAACCTTCCCTTGTTTCCTCTTGTTTCCTCTTAGCCATGACCTTTCCTTCTTTCCTCCTGGCACTCTCACCTTCGCACCTTTCTCTTTCTCTCTATATACACATACAATGAAACCATAGTCTCTATCACCGCTTAACACAACCTCAGCATATTTACTTGTGCCATTCCACTCCACTGCGTAAAAAACCTTTTCACTGATCATTACCTCCGTATCCATTATTTTCAACATTGGAAACTTAGTGTTTGTCGAGTGATGTTTTGTGATCTTGGTGGGTGTGGCTATCAACGCTAGGAAGGGGTGGCACCGGTAATAGATACTGTGCCCTCCCATAGGGCATCCGAATCTATTGCTGAATGAAAACAATGAATGGAGGACTATTTGTCCGCTTCTGAACACTTTCCCTGGCCTCAAATGTTATTCTAGGCAGTAGGAATGATCTACTGTAATGTTTGTCAGCCTGGTCTAGTGCCTCTAACAGGGGGATTCAGCTGGTTAACGAGAATAGAATGGTACCCTAGGATGATCCGAGTGGATTTAGCAATCATGGCCCATTTCCATCATCTAGGTTATCGCTCATAAGTTTTTCTTCACGCATAATCGAACTAAATTTACAAAGAGAGCTCTTGCAACTAACATCGCTACGTCAAACTAATCTCAATTATTTTAGAGGAGAAGGAGTAGTCTTCGGGTATCCCCACTAAACCCCTTACAGAGAATTTCTTGGCCTAGCGTCCAATGCGCCGAACCAGCTAAATCCCCCTAATACCAAGGTTCGGATCTCATTAATACCAGTTGTTGGGCTCTAACTTATGGGATTGCTTTTGGGCTCTGACGGAACGTACTAGGTTTCTGAGGGTGAGCAAAAGTAGAGAAGCGGAGCTCAGCCCCCACGAATGGTAGCTAAGTTGGGTTTAATAGGTGAGGAGTCAATTTGTTTCACTCGCAACGTGGTGTAGAACCAACTACACCACGAAACCAGATATGAAGTGAAGTGATGCGTCCATACACAACACAATTCTATATCTACTTGTGAACTGCCTTACTCGAGTACCGGGGGTTAAGGGTAAGTGAGACGAACCGGTCCTCATTGGCTCCTGGGTCGCTCGGCCGATGTGAGAGCAGAATTTCACAAAGCTTCTCGTGTCGGAATTTTTTGCGTTCGCCTGACTTTTTTTCCCCTCTAAAAAAAAGCCACCAAGATTAGCCGTTTCCATGGTTACACTCACCAAATTTTGACCATCAGACCCCCCTAAGTGCTCGAGTAGTGCTGCACAGTATGGACTAACAATCATCATGTGAGTCCGATAAGAGATCTGGTGCCAGATCTCTCTTATCGGGTTCACGTGACGATTAAATTAGTCCGCTGTGCTCGTAGACTATAAGTATGAGAGCCCCCTCCCCTACTCTGTTCCAAAGCAGCACACCTCGTACAACCACGCAGCACAGGGCAATCCATGGCTTCGCTCATCCGCAAGTTCCTTACCACCCCTCTGTGGCAGTTCATCCGTCCACAAAAGAAATCCATCTTCGATACCCATCCATACCGCCAATTTACCGTAAGAACTCGAATAATTGAACCTCGTGCTAGAACGTTCAGAATTCCCTCTCCTGGATAGGGGGCCGAGAGCACAGCGAAAACCGACTCCCCGAGCCCCTGCTTGAGATAAAAAAAGTAAAAACACCGCACCATACCAGTAGAGGCAACACCGACGTCCTAGCTCCAGGTTCAATTATTCGAGTTCTTACGGTATTGGACAAAGTCGAATCCGGCCAGATTTGATCCACCGACGGTTGATTACGACCGACTCCTGCCCCGAGACAGAGTCCCTACCGGATAGCCATGGGGAGATGGGCCCAGGTGATGCTTCGGCTAACAAATTTCTGGTACAGTGTTATTTTCACTACTACTGATTTGACTAACTAATACTATGACAGTGGGACCGTGTGTTTAAAAATGGCACGCGTCTAACCGATCTCACTAAAGTTTCTTTCCTGTGTTTGTTTAGTCTAATTTACAGACAGCTAACACTTGTTATAGGAATTTAAGGATGCAGAGATTGCTGCTAGCAGAACAATGGCGACTACTGTATCAACAATAGAGAGCCGTTTTGCCCAAGTTGACATCCAATTCAACCGAGTTGACACCCGATTCAACCAAGTTGATACCCAATTCGTGAAAGTCCGCTTGGAGATGAAAGCCATGTTTGATGAAGCGAAAGCATACACGGATCATCTAGGGGCCCAAATGAAATTGATACAGTGGCAACTTGGGATAATTGGCTCCTTGATCGTCGGTCTCTTCGGGGTACGTTATCCCTGAACTTACGAGTAGATTTTTACTGTTACTAATACCATACCTTATAGATCGGTTTGTTTGCTGTAAAAAAAGCAGTAGATTTTTACCTCCCGCAAGTTGCTCCAAAGATCACCACGGTAAGGTCCATAGAGAAATGGCTCAATAGCAGATGACTTATACAGATTATTAACAGAATAGTGGAAATCACTCCTCCGAAGCGCCAGTTAAGGGTACTCCAGTGAGGGAGGGGAGCAAGGGGGGCATGTGGTGTCGTCTTTGGTGAAGTGGCCGATGGGGCTGGCATGGAGATTGTGAGGAAGATGGAGTTGAAGTTTTTTGAGTGATGCGGGGGGCGGTGGTATTATTTTTAATTATTAATAATGCCACCTGTGTATGCCCAATGCCGAATAGGAAAATAGAAGAGGTTTCCCTCCAAACAAGAAAGTTGTTGTATTGGTCCAAGTGCTATGGATTGTGTTTAGGAATTTTAACTTCAACTCGTTACAATCACCCCCCTTTAAATTTACAACAATTGCAACGGCATCTCCTTTTCAATGATAATCTATCAGATTGAGGATGTCTTTCAGAGCTGGATTGAGAGTTGTCAGTGGTAGTCGGTTCAGACTCATAAGCGTTCATCGGGCCGGTTCAGGATTGAGTAGTACTGGGTTTGTTAGATCTGACAGTTCATACTTCAGTATACTAATTTGATTGTCTGGTACAGCCCCGGAGGTATGGCGGGCGAGGTGGGAACAGACAATGTTGCAACAAAGGGGGGGGGGTTGGATCAAAAAATGATCAAGTGGCTGGGACACACTTTTTCGAACTGGAGGCCTATAAGATAATAGAAACCCTTCTAACAAAACAATAAACAATGACATTTGAAGCTCGTTGGAGGAAAAGAACCAAATTTTTAATAAAACAGGTAGGATTATTGGGTTTGGTAAATTTTACTCCTCTTTTCCTACTTCCAAACAATGAATAGCCGGTTCCCCTCCTATTTCGCTTTGCTCATAGTCGGGAAAAGCAAGTGCAACGCAAAAGCAAGTGCAATGCAATACAAATTTTCTTTTTTTAAAAAAAAACTTATGTACATAATATGAGTTATCAACCTTTTATCTGTACCCTCCACTGAAGACAAATTATTTCAATCCAAGCCCACAAAATCAGCATTTCTTGCAATTGAATCATATGATAGGCAAGACAAACCAGAATCTGATTCTTCAGCCAGGTCCTCAATATCACTCTCAACAATTCAGGTACCTCCCTTATTTCCTCTTGGGAGTCTATCATCTTGCTTTCTCTTAGGCTTTGGTTAAGATCAAATAATTTTCACCATGCTATACTGGTTGAAGATTCTGAGGGGATTTCGTACTTGCTTGCGATTCCAGAGCTGGCATGATCAGGTTGAGGTAGCATTGATATTGAAAAGCTGTGCTGCTGTACTGGCTGATTCAGTCGGCTCCTTCTCTAACCATTTGAGAGCTTGATTTAGTTGTTACTTTGCTGCAAGCTTTTGGGATATGTCGGTCATTGTCAGTGCTGATTTGGTATGGTTTTCACATTATAGTGGTTGAAAAGAATTGCATGCATGTAATTAAGTAAGAAAAATATGTGGTTGATAACTCATATTATGTACATCAGTTTTTTTTTTTAAAAAAAAATTTGTATTGCGTTGCACTTGCTTTTCCCGACTATGAGCGAAGCGAAACAGGAGGGGAACCGGCTATGAATACAAGTATTTCATGTTATTTTTGCTTACCAAGACTTTAAAGAACCCACCCCCTTTTATCCCCATTTTCAGAAGCCCCGATTCAGCCCCACCCTCTTCTAACCCCCCGGGGTTCTATTACCGAAGGCCTTCTTTGCAACACTGGGAACAGAGACCGAGAGCCAAATCTGTACCGAGACCCACCAGATCCCCAGGATCTCCATGATCACACGCGTGACAAGAGACCCAATAAAATCTGTTCGAGGTTTACTAAGGTCGGTCCCATCAGAGTTGTCTATGATGGGTTCTACAGACTCGGACACGGCGTGATCGGGGGCGTTAGCACTTTAACTGGGGGTGTAAGGTGGTTGAGTGGTCAGGTGGAAGATCACATACCCAGTGCGGCGTACGGATATCAAGCGGGTAGCGACGATTCGTCGACGAACCTCCTGTTGCTGGAAAACAAGCTCCCCAGCAACTTCGGGAAACTGGTGAAACATGGGAACCCGAAACTGGCGAGGATGGAACACAGAGAAAGAGGGGATCAACATTTGCTCGCAATGAAGCTGTGTCTAGGGAGAATGGCAACGGCAGTCCTCAACGGACTCGTCCCTACCTACCACTGATCGAGCAATACCGGCGTTGCCAATCCTCACCCTGTGGGAAGTCAGCAGGCAGTAGGCAGCAGTTGATGCACCACCTCGATGGATGTTTTGGAACAAGACCCATAGTCAGCGACGATCATGAGAACGACGATGGTGAAATCCCTTCAACTACAGTTCACCTACATCACCGCATACGACTCGTTCTATGGATTTACCGGCCGAAGGTCCTAGCAAGGAATATCCCAAGGCTTTCAACGAGACATACGCTGACGACAAACACGGAGACCCATTGTGGAAGCAGCACCTTTCATTAAACGATAGGCCCATGATGACTCTGCCCCCTTTTGGTGTGAAATGGTTGCCTTCTCTCCCACTCATTGGGAAGAAGGTGGACACAATCTATTATTGTCGGAAGGAGGTTGCCCGTCTCAATGTCGAGATAGAGCAGGACCAGAGCGCACCAGTACCCACTCATGAACTCTGCTTTTATCCCGTTCAACCGGCAAGTTGCCACCGCGCATATGGCCTGTCAGTCGCTTTCTCATTACATCGCACAGTAGATGTGCCCTCGCCACATTGAGGTCTCTCCCGATGACGTCATCTGGTCCAAAATGAAGATTTCTTGGTGGCAGAGGTATTTGCGCATTGCCGGTATTACTATAGCTACAGGCGGTTTGATCGTTGGATGGGCTTTCCCGGTCGCCATTATTGGTTTGGTTTCTCAGATTGATTATCTCACGGAAACGGTCCCATGGCTGGGGTGGATTGATAAGCTTCCCAATTTTGTTCTTGGTCTGGTCCAAAGGTCTGCTCCAAAGTGTTTTTCCTCCAATGGGTTTGGCAATCTTAGTGGCATTGTTGCCCATTATCCTTAGTGCATTCGCGGAACTTCAGGGAAATCACACTGGTATGGCCATCGCGAGGGCTGTTCAGGAATCTCTTTTGCTTTTCTGTTTATTCGGACTTTTCTCGTTGTCAATTTCTCATCCGGCATTACCGCCGTTCTCCAGCAATTAACGGATAACTCCGCATCTGCGCCATCAATTTTGGCCCAGAACCCACCGAAGGTGTCCAACCTCTTCTTCTCAGAACCTGCTACTGCAAGCATTCACTGCTAGCGGTGGAGCAATTCTACAAATTGGGTCATTACTCGTAAAATCCATTCCTAGTCTAATTGTTGACTACCGCTCGTCAGGAGTTTACCCCGGCGGCACGGCTTGCGCAGGCGAAATGGGGCACTCTCTTCCCGGTATATCTGGATTTGGGGCGCGTTGGGGTTGTTCACGCGGCCATCTCCCATTGGTTCTCATCTTCAATGCCTGCACGTTCAGTCTTTTCTGGATAGTATATCGTTACAATCTTCTCTACGTCAACAACTTTCTCTTCGATACAGGAGGTTTGCTCTTCCCCAGGGCGGTCAACCAGTGGTTTACAGGAATATATGTTATGGAGGTTTGTTTGCTTGGTCTCTTCTTCCTTGTCCAGGATACCAAAGATCGTGTGTTTGCTTTCCTCGAGCAATTATCATGATCGTTGTCACGATCTTTACCGTCCTATATTAATATACTTTGAACTCCGCTTTCGGTCCATTTTTAACCCACTTGCCCATCACTCTGGAGGATGGCGCTGTTCTCCGCGGTGGAGCATTGGCGGAAGATAATGAAAGGCGAATACTGTTGGGTAGCGGCAACATCGTTCCGGAGGAGCAGGAATGCGACGGTCTGAATGAGGTTTTTGCAGAGTGGGAAAAGCGAGAGCGGCGCATGGATCAGCGTGCGGATGAGATTGAAATGAGGAAAATCCGCAACATCCGTGAAAAGAAGGAAGGAAAGTCGTCATTCTCAAGAGGCGGAAGACAGGCCAAGGGGCCAGACGCCAGAGACCTACAAATGAAATTGCGTCCTGCACTGCCAAAGCAACAGCCGCATATTAGACCGGAGCTAATGTTGTTTGGAGACATTTACCGACCAGATTGAAGACTTGTCGCCAGCGGAACGGGACATACTCGTTGGTATAGCATTCCAACACGAGGCTCTCCGGCGCAACGCCCAGTGACCCGGATACCAAGAAATGATCTGGTATTCCTGACGATGTGATCCGGTCCAGGCATAGGTTTAGTGACAATGTCTGGATTAGCAACGAAAATTTTGGTCTGGATCGCAAGGGTGGAGTGGTGTACAGGTGTCCGCCACTAGATTTTAATCAGCGGGATTCGGTGAAGCTAGAATCCAAGCAAGCCACTACCAGTTATTTTGTATTCATTTATTCCCATCGTTTTGGTTTGCTCTATTTTATTCGATCGGCATTCTGTTTCGCGATGAGTGCAGTATTATGCATATCTTTAACTTGAGTGATGATGGATGACGAAGTTGAGGTTAAGGGAAGAAGGGAAATTTGGGACGTTTCCTTACTTAGTACTATATTGGTATCATAACAACTTATAGGGTTGGCTTTTGTTGTATTGAAGGGGTTGCGCTTGCGCTTGTATTATTCAATTATTCGAGTTCTTACGGTACAGTATTCGAGGTGGACGAAGGAAGAATGCCGGGACTAAGAGCGATGAATGACGTCATCCCGCCCATGGCACCCATCCAGCTTTAAAATGTGAGGCTCTTTTCACAAAGACTAACGTAATCCCGCCCCGCGCCAACCATCCCGCTGCTAGAAAGCTTCCTTCAACCTTACCCTCTCAATACCATTACTTAACCTAAAGAAAGACAGAAACCCTTTCAAAAAGAAACAAACGGGTGCTGAAGTGTCCACCCATGTTGATTCTGATGCCCCTCCAGAAACGCTCTCCCGCCGGGACATTCCTGCAGTGGCGGAATTCATCTTCAGCGGGAAGTACGAAAGGATAGTCTTTCTGGTACTATACTCCTCTTTCCCAAAACCCCTCCGCCACAAGCTAACATGTGCCATAGTACTGTGCCGGAATCTCCACCTCCGCCGGCATTCAGGACTTTCGCACACCGGGTACGGGCCTCTACTCCAACCTCCAAACGCTAAACCTCCCTCACCCGGAGGCCGTCTTCGATACAAGCTTCTTCCGCACCAATCTCTAACCTTTCTACACCCTCGCGAAATCTCTGCACCCCGGCCAATTCACCCCGACGATCACACACGCCTTCATATCGCTAACGGCAAAGAAGAACTTGCTTCACAAGTGCTTCACCCAGAACAATAGACATGCTAGAACGCGCCGTGGGGGTTCCGCCAGATAAGCTCGTTGAAGCCACGGCTGGTTCGCGGGGCAGTCATGCATAGATTGTCACGCCGAGTACCCGGCCGATAGGATGAAGAAGCACCTTCTCGCCGGAAGTGTGCCCCAGTGCGAGACTTGCACCGGGTTGGTGAAGCCGAATATTGTATTCTTTGGGGAGGGCTTGCCGAGGGAGTTTCGCATAGGGCTTAGCATGGTCGAAGAGGCGGACTTAGTGATCATGATGGGGAGCTCATTAAGTGGTTACCCGTTTGCGGTACTTCCCGGACGCGCGAGGGAGGGGGCGGTCAGGGTTTTAATCAACAATGAGAAGGCAGGGGGGATTGGTGGCCGGCCGGGCGGTGTGCATTTGCTAGGCGGGTGCGATTGGGGGGTGAGAAGGCTGGCGGAGGAGCCGGAGGAAGTTAGGAGGTCGGTCGGAGGTGGGAGCGATAAGGAGGCGGAAGCGCAGGCCGACAGCAGCGAAGCTGCCGAACCGGTAGAAAGCATGGATGTGAAAGTTGGCTGTCTAACTGAAGATGTTGAGCGTAGCCTATCCGTCGTTGACGGCTGGAAGGACAACGTCATGAAAGACCTTTCCACCCAAGAGACACGGATCGCTAAAGTGGTCGAGGCTGACCTTCGCGGGGAGAACGGCGAAGTTAGCCTCGTGGACCAGAAGAATCTTGGTGGGGATGCGGCCGACCAACCAACTGGTTCTTCCGAGGACGGGGCTAACCTCGATACCGCCGCTCGGGAGCCGGAGCATCTGGTGGGGAAAGTGGGTAGCGCTGGGGCTGCATGATTTTCCTAAATGTGGGATATGGAGATGAGGATGTTTGAATTGACAATTTTAGCTATCCTTCCTTTTTCGGTCCTCGCGGTATGCTCGCTGGTT